GAGATATTGTGTGAGCCATTAACAAAGATCTTCAACACATCATTTGAAACTGGGCAACTCCCTGAGGTATGGAAAATGGCAAATGTAGTCCCAATCTTTAAAAAGGGAGACAGACATGAGGCACTAAACTACAGACCTGTATCACTAACATGTATAGTATGCAAGGTCATGGAGATCATCAGGAGGAGAGTGGTGGGGCACCTGGAAAGAAACAAGTGTATAATTGACAACCAGCACGGTTTCAGGGAAGGAAAATCCTGTGTCACAAACCTACTAGAGTTTTATGACAAGGTGACAGAAGTAAGACAAGAGGAGAGAGGGTGGATCGACTGCGTATTTTTGGACTACAAGAAGGCTTTCGACACAGTTCCTCACAAGAGGTTACTGCAAAAGCTAGAGGACCAGGCACACATAACAGGAAAGGCACTGCAATGGATCAGAGAATATCTGACAGGGAGGCAACAACGAGTCATGGTACGCGACGAGGTGTCAGAGTGGGCGCCTGTGACAAGCGGGGTTCCACAGGGGTCAGTCCTAGGACCTGTGCTGTTCTTGGTATACGTGAACGACATAATGGAAGGGATAGACTCAGAAGTGTCCTTGTTTGCAGACGATGTGAAGTTAATGAGAAGAATCGAATCGGACGAGGATCAGGCAGGACTACAAAGAGATCTGGACAGGCTACAAGCCTGGTCCAGCAACTGGCTCCTTGAATTAACCCTGCCAAATGCAAAGTCATGAAGATTGGGGAAAGGGGCAAAGAAGACCGCAGACACAATATAGTTTAGATGGCCAAAGACTGCAAACCTCACTCAAGGAAAAAGATCTGGGGGTGAGTATAACACCGAGCATATCTCCTGAGGCGCACATCAATCAGATAACTGCTGCAGCATACGGGCGCCTGGCAAACCTACGGATAGCGTTCCGATACCTCAGTAAGGATTCGTTTAAGACTCTGTACACCATCTACGTCAGGCCCATACTGGAGTATGCAGCACCAGTTTGGAATCCACACCTAGTCAAGCACGTCAAGAAATTAGAGAAAGTGCAAAGGTTTGCAACAAGACTAGTCCCAGAGCTACGGGGATTGTCCTATGAAGAAAGGTTGAGGGAAATCGGCCTGACGACACTGGAGGCCAGGAGGGTCAGGGAGACATGATAACGACATATAAAATACTGCGCGGAATAGACGAGGTGGACAAAGACGGGATGTTCCAGAGATGGGACACAGACACAAGAGGTCACAATTGGAAGTTGAAGACTCAGATGAATCAAAGGGATGTTAGGAAGTATTTCTTCAGTCATAGAGTAGTCAGGCCATGGAATAGCCTAGAAAGTGATGTGGTGGAGGCAGGAACCATACATAGTTTTAAGGCGAGGTATGATAGAGCTCATGGGGCAGGGAGAGAGAGGACCTAGTAGCAATCAGCGAAGAGGCGGGGCCAGGAGCTGTGACTCGACCCCTGCAACCACAAATAGGTGAGTACAAATAGGCGAGTACATACACACACACACACACACACACACACCCACAATACACACACACACATTACATCTGGCAAGCAATGTAGTGGAGGCAGGAACCATACATAGTTTTAAGACGAGGTATGATAAAGTTCATTGAGCAGGGAGAAAGAGGACCCAGTAGCATTCAGTGAAGAGGCGGGGCCAGGAGCCGAGTCTCGACCCCTGCAACCACAATTAGGCAAGTATACCTACACCTGGCCAAAGACTGCAAACCTCACTAAAGGAAAAAGATCTTTGGGCGAGTATAATACCAAGCACATCTCCTGAGGCACACATCAGTCAGATAACGACTGCAGTACATGATCGTCTGGCAAACCTAAGAATAGCGTTCCGATACCTTAGTAAGGAATCGTTCAAGACTCTGTACACCATACACGTCAGGCCCATATTGAAGTATGTAGCACCAGTTTGGAATCCAGTTTGGAGTCAAAAAATTAGAGAAAGTGCAAAGGTTTGCAATGAGACTAGTCCCAGAGCTAAGGGGATTGTCCTACAAAGAAAGGTTAAGGGAAATCGGCCTGACGACACTGGAGGACAGGAGGGTCAAGGGAGACATGATAACGACATATACAATACTGCGAGGAATTGACAAAGTGGACAAAGACGGGATGTTCCAAAGATGGGACACAGAAACAAAGGGTCACAATTGGAAGTTAAAGATTCTTATGAGTCAAAGGGATGTTAGGAAGCATTTCTTCAGCCACAGAGTTGTCAGGAAGTGGAACAGCCTAGAGGAGGCAGGAACCATACATAGTTTTAAGACAAGGTTTGATAAAGCTCATGGAGCAAGGAGAAAGAGAGGACCTAGTAGTGATCAGTGAAGACAGGGCCAGGAGCTATGACTCGGCCCCTGCAACCACAAATAGGTAGGTACAAATAGGCGAGTACACACACACACACACACACACACACACACACACACACACACACACACACAACACCTAAGCTATAACTCTCACCATGTTACAACCATTTACACATACACCCAGGAAAATAATATACAGTAGTAAATACATGCAATCATAAGAGGTTAAAATTTTGTCCAGCCATTCAACAGCTATAAGATCATCCACAGTAAATAAGTCACATAAAATATCAGGTTCCGGCTGACTTTCACATAATTAGAAAAATTACACTGAAGTCTGAAACACTGAAGCCGAGGGCATATACTTAGAACATGAGCCATAGTCAATTGCATGCCACATGCTGCAATTATAGAGGGCTAGAATACATAGGAACCAGATAACCACTGGTTAAAATCATGTCAGTTATGATTTATGGTGAGAAGAGAGCCAAAACTTCATTATTTATTACTTGTACATAGGATCTACCTGACCAATCATTTCACTAGTTTATGCTATGAATTGGGCCAAAAACCACACTGAGGTAAAAAGTCTTCTATAGAGTGGACTTGCAACAGTAACCTTCACCTCGGCACCCATCTGCTCATTACTCAGGGCCCGAACATGCCCTGGACACCAACAGTATTCCCCATGGTGCTACAGGACACACTAGAGAAAGTTTTGAGCTATGGTAAATAATCTTTACTCAACATGTTTAAAGTATTTCTTCAACAATGAGCAACATCCCCCTCAACAAACTACTCGGCTGAGGAGGTATATGATCTTGCGCCTAACACTAACTCGCTTCCATTCTCCCTTCCTCCTCTCTCTGATTATATAATGCAAGCCTATGGAAAAAAATGGAACTGCTAAATATAATTTCGCTTGATACTTGCCTGTGCAAAATATAGTAAAATCTTGACTGAACAGACCCCAATATAACAGATTTTGGAATTAACAGACAAAATCTATGCCCAGAAAACATTCAGAAGCAACATGCAAAGTCCATTAAATCCATTATTGTTGCAATCTGCTGGGTAAATTTATTTTTGGCTTCAATGGATCTAGTACAGTAAATCATAATTCTGATTTACCAGACAGCTGACTGTTTTCGTTGGCTTCAAACTGAGCTGTTGTTCATTGTGTTCCACCTGCTGGCAATTGTTACTGGTGGGTGGAACAATGGCTCAATTGAAAGCCAATGAAAACGTGGAACACTGAAAATAGATGCTGTATATCTAGGAATCATTTCTATCACGAATCAGGGAAAGATGACCACATCATATATGTATTGCCATGGCTCACAGTCTCTCTTACTGTGGACAGAAATGTGTGTGTACCTATATTGTATACAGCATTCAAGCAAGCAAGCAAGCAAGCAAGCAAGCATTCATATTCCTTGCCACATAAGCATATGCACTGCTGACAAACATGCCTTGTAGAGGATAAAGAGACCACTTGAACATCTGCCTCCTAGAAAAACAAATACATGTATAGTGTGTAAATTTTTACACACATTTTTTGCACCAAAGCTAACAAATCAAAATAGTTTTGTTAGCTTAATACATTCAAGAATTTGTATAATTCAATTGCTAGCACACTCAGCTCACACACAGAGGTCTGTGGTTCAATTCCCGGTATGGGTGGAAATATCAAGACGTGTTTCCTTAAGACACCTGCTGTCTCTGTTCACCTAGCAGTTAAATAAGTACCTATGTGTTAGTCAATGGTGTGGGTCGCATCCTAGAACAAAACTGACCTAATTGGCCTGAAATGCTCTGCATAACAAGGGGCTTTCTATAAAGAAGTACAGTGGTGCCTCGGGTTACGAACTTAATTCATTCCAGAAGGCTGTTCGAGTGCTGATACCGAACGAATTTGTTCCTATAAGGAATAATGTAAATCAGATTAATCCGTTTCAGAACCCCAAAAATACATTTACAAAAGCACTTACATAAATACACTTACATAACTGTTCGAGTTTTGAGCTGTTCGTATCCCGGGGTAACACTATGTCATTGATGTCAACTAGGCCTATATATATACCTTGTACATGTGCCTGTAGAAATAAATATTTTTATTAACTATACAGTGGACCCCCGCTTAACGATCACCTCCCAATGCTACCAATTATGTAAGTGTATTTATGTAAGTGCGTTTGTACGTGTATGTTTGGGGGTCTGAAATGGACTAATCTACTATACAATATTCCTTATGGGAACAAATTTGGTCAGTACTGGCACCTGAACATACTTCTGGAATGAAAAAATATCGTTAACCAGGGGTCCACTGTACTTTACTGTTATCCTTCATGGAATGGGGGACTGGGGATGATCTTCAGATGATCCAGATAAAATTTTATTATTTTATTATCACACTGGCCGATTCCCACCAAGGCAGGGTGGCCCGAAAAAGAAAAACTTTCACCATCATTCACTCCATCACTGTCTTGCCAGAAGGGTGCTTTACACTACAGTTTTAAGACAGTGATGGAGTGAATGATGGTGAAAGTTTTTCTTTTTCGGGTCACCCTGCCTTGGTGGGAATCGGCCAGTGTTATAATAAAATAATAAAATTTTATCTGGATCACCTGAAGATCATCCAGTGAAAAAAAAAAAACTATTGGATTACCTTCCAAAGCAGAAGTAAGAGATGCCCAGTCCTGCAGCTAAGGAGCCCCAGTGACGAGTTGTTGCTGAAACGCGGGAAGGATGGCAGTATACCCGGAAAATATAAGCTAGGACAAGGGCCATCACTTGCCCCAATATAAAATTCACCTGAAATATACAAGCATATTATTACCACAAATTTAAGAGAGAGAGGAACAAGAAATGAAGGAGGTGCAGCACATTAAAATGAAAAAATGGTTAGATGTTGGTAACCTTTTATGTTAAAATTATCACAAATTAAAGCTTCAGCAAAAAAAATATGTCCATGCATATGAAAGCTGTGTCACATGTGTACATACATATGTATAAATCAAATTGTTGAGCAATACTGCACAGGGAAGTACTGTGTGCTTATAGCCCAAGTTACATAATGTGATTTGCTTTAAGAAAATAATTAGCTATTAATAATTAGCTATTAATTATAAAAAGGCAGTAATATAGTACACCAATAATACCAATACCAATAATAATAATAATAATAATAATAATAATAATAATAATAATAATAAATAATAATAATAATAATAATAATAATAATAATAATAATAATAATAAATTTATTGAGCTAAGGTATGAACATACCCAGTTGGAAGTGGTTGCTATAAAACATTTATGACATTCTGTATTATCAAAAATAAAACTGGCATAGCTAGAGTAAATTCTTTACTCTGTATTTGATACGAGACTACTAAACCAAGAACACCAAGTGGAGTCAGAACAGGTGTACAGTACTATAGTGAGCCTGATGTACATCCACCAGTTTGTTAACAAGTGCTCCAGAAATAACAAGCATAATACTCCCATAAGAATTTATTTTAAAGCAGACAAACGGGGACCTACACTGCCCATTAAAAATGCAAATAAAGTAGGACCCCCCATATCTGCAGGGGATATGTTCCAAGGACCTGCCACGGCTACCGAAACTGTGGATAGTAGCAAACCCTATATATAAGTCCTATGCATACCTATTATTAAATTTTTCACAATAAATGGAGAATTATCATTTTTTCACTGATGGGAAGCACTTCACAGCTTCTCTTGGTCTTTAAAGAAATATCAGCTTCTCTAATTTTGCACTCAGAGGCCATTATTATGCAAAATTAAGAGGTATTTTGGGGCCCCATTAAACTGTGGACAAGTGAAACCATGGATACTGAATCAGTGGATATGGGGGTTCTACTGTATATGTACAAGTACTGAAAGTAAGAGGGTGCTTAGAAGTGGCATTTTCAAGCTATACCACAATATAAAAAAAAAGTAGGAAGTGTGGAATAACCTTGGTATAATGCTACATTATTATTAATCAAAACCAATTGCTAAACCCACAAGGGTCATACAGCACTGCAATGTACTGCTACAGGTATCCCACTTCACACATACCTAAAAATTTTTGCTGTAGCTAATGTGAAAATAAGTCAAAGAAAGAACAGAAAGTGGAAATTATCAAGTAAATTACCTTTATATAATTTAAATCCACACAATCTCCAATAGTTGTACAGAGTCCAGCCAGTAGATGGATGAGTAACTGAACAGATACATCACTAAGTCTAGGGGTTCCTGTGTCAGACAAGTACTGTATACAATGCTATACAATTTAGTTCTGGTAACTGCCACTAATGACTAATCAATATTTTATGATAAATTCATTAGATGTCTAATTGCCATTAATAACTTAGCCTAAGCATAGAAAGTCTCTGATCACAAGTGTATACATTACAGCCCCTTTTCCCCAGCCTCCCCACACAGCCCGGCGAGTTGCAGAGACCATGGCGAGTCAGAGACCATGGCGAGTCAGAGACCATGGCGAGTCAGAGACCATGGCGAGTCAGAGACCATGGCGAGTCAGAGACCATGGCGAGTCACACAGCATGGCGAGTCACACAGCATGGCGAGTCACACAGCATGGCGAGTCACACAGCATGGCGAGTCACACAGCATGGCGAGTCACACAGCATGGCGAGTCACACAGCATGGCGAGTCACACAGCATGGCGAGTCACACAGCATGGCGAGTCAGAGCCTGGTGTAGTATAGTGCTCCAGTACTAATGTGCCTTAATACACCACTCATGATGAAAGACCACCGAAATTGAGGCATCAAGTGGCTGCTCTGACCATGTGCCTGTCTGAATGGCACAGCAGATGAGCGGTTATGGCTGGTAAATGAGAGAGCAGCATGAACTCTGTAGTGTGCACCACATGGCCCAAAGCTGTGTGATGAACCACTATCATGTCTCAAGTCTCTCTAGTTCTCACCGTCAGCATTCACAGCACCTCACTAGTTCTCACCGTCAGCATTCACAGCACTAAGACCAGTAAAGCTTTTAAGCTGATTCACATAGCTCTGAATGACCTTTGCCTTGTCCTAAATCTGCACACTGCCATAACATACAGGAGCAAGAGATGTGGAAAGTGTAAGATAAACCCAGTGAAAATCAGGGGTGCAGTGAACACAATAAGGGAACACTGTATCAACATTCGTGGTCCCAGATTATTCTACATACAGTGCTAGTCACAGCATCATGCTGGGCGAGTTCCCTGGCATAATGCCATGACAAAAATCAAAGGCCTACCATACAGGGGGGTCTTTTTTCGTCAGTGCATTATGCTGGGTAGCAGCCATTAGCATGACGTCACAGCCTGCTGCCATACTCCACAGTGACTCCTCAGTGCTCACGTGGCTGCCATGGTGAGAGGAAATGTTGCACTTTTGTCTCTCATCCGCCCCATCTTTTGTCTGGTGTTCCCTTTGGTTTTGGGGGATATACATGTTTGATTATGGGTAAAAGGAAGTCTCTACCTGAAACTATAGCTCAAATCATAAGGCTTCACAAAGCTGGGCACCAGATGAAAGAAACAGTGGAGGATGTTGGTGTGAGAGAGCATTCAGTGAGGAACTGGGTGCAGCGTTTCAAGGCTGGTGGCGGACCTCGGCCTGGCCCCTCGAAGAAGACATCTGTTCGTACCTTAACTGTGTTGAGGAAGCAGCTAGAGAGTACACCTAAGATAACTGCTAGAGAACTGAAAGAAAAGAACCCACATCTTTTCTCAGAGGTGTCTGTAAGAACTGTTAACAGACGTGTGTCAGAACTGGGCTACAGTAGCCACTGCCAGGTTAAGAAACCGATCCTCTCCAAGCCACAGAAGAAACTTAGACTGGATTATGCGAAGAAATATCTTCACTGGAATCCTCAACAGTGATCTGAAGTACTCTGGAGTGATAAAGCAACCTTCACTGCCACCTGTAACCCTGGAGGACATGTGTACCGGCCCAGAGGTAGTGACCCACTACACCCACACTACACTTGTAGGACCACCAAACACCCAGACTCACTCATGGTTTGAGGGTGTTTCAGTGCTTAGTGTGGGTGAACTCATTGTGTCAGCATAGTTGCTGATCCCCTGTATATGTTGTATAGTATAGCTGAGTATCATAGTACCATCCATATATATTATATAGACAACCCCTTGCTAGACTTAGCAGCTAGCATGTGACGTCACGTGATATGACATGTGAGCATCACATGCTCTGCCTCTCCCTCAGTTCTTGGATAGACCTACAGGCAGCTACAGGCAGGCTGGGCCATTCCCCTCACAACTCTGCTAATATAAGTGAATACAACCCAACAAGTGTGTTTATCTCCAGCCATCATATCTCCACGGAACCCTCCCAACAATTGTGCTTCCCAAAAACCAGTATATGAACCAGTATAATTACCTGGAGTTATTGTGTGACAATTTACCTGAGGCATCTGACAAGTGCGGGGCTACGGTTTTTATGCAGGACAGTGCATCATGTCATACAGCCAAATCTGTAGTTCAGTGGACTATGAAGTGAGGCTCTTTAATGACTGGCCAGGCAATACCCCAGACCTGAGCCCTATTAAGAACCTCTGGTCAATAGTGAAACAAAGTTTACTGGGCAAGGATATCAGTTCCATCCTGTGGCTGGAGGCTGCTCTATATGAGGCATGGAATAATATACCTCCATAAACCCTCAAGAATTTGTGTCTTCCTATACGGATGAGGGATGTGATTAAGCGTAAAGGATGCAGCACCAAATATTAAAACCTCAGTAAGTGTGCAAATGTATATATTATAATCTTTCATGGTATGTGCTTGTGTTTCGGTACGTGTGTGGGGGAGGGGCGGCATAATGCTGTGACTAGCACTATAAGAAGATATCAGAAACACTCCTGGGAAAAGTGTAGAAGTCTTTAAGAGGAAAATGGACAAGTATCTTCCCCAGGTGCCAGATCAACCAGACTGTGATGGATGTGGGGCTGCAGGCCACTAGCAGCAACACCAGACAAGCCAGTAGAAAAAACTCTCAGAACTCAAAGGTAAAGGACCAGTGTGGGTCATTGAACAGTGCTGAATGACCCTCTATGTGCTAATATTTAATATACAGTACTGTGCATCACTTCTCAGTACACTGGTCATCTCCAACCGAAGTAAAGTGACCAAAAAAAGAAAGTACCTTCACCATCATTCACTCCATCACTGCCTTGCCAGAGGTGCAGTGATACTCCACTTCTTAGGGTTGACTAACTTTACCTCAGATGAATACATTCATATAGGGTTCAACAATCGGTATAAATGTTTTGCAAGAAGGGTCAACTCTAGCCAGTGGCAACCAGGCAAGGTCAACTCTAGCCGGTGGCAACCAGGCAAGGTCAACTCTAGCCAGTGGCAACCAGGCAAGGTCAACTCTAGCCAGTGGCAACCAGGCACAGTCAACTCTAGCCAGTGGCAACCAGGCAAGGTCAACTCGAGCCAGTGGCAACCAGGTAAGGTCAACACTAGCTAGTGGTAGCCAGGTAAGGTCAACTCTAGCTAGTGGTACTATGAAGGCAGAGTTGCCTCGACTCTTGGTTTTACTACACAGGACAGCTGCAAGTGATCTCGTGTCGAGTTAACTGGAAATTACACACAAACGTAAGTGACATGGGAATAAGGCCATGTTAATTTTCTTTAACCCACCAATCTATTTTTTCTCCTAAAATTGTCAGGTATGTAAAAATTTCTGAGTAGGAGGTGAGAGGTGGAAAAGGAGGGGAAGGAAAGAGAAAAAGAAAAAAGAAAGAAAAATATGAAAACAAGAGGAGAAAGAGAAAGAAAAA